ATAGGTTTTCAGCACTTCGTGCTTGAACACCTAATAAAAATCCTTACAATTACAATAGGTTTTCAGCACTTCGTGCTTGAACACCTAATTAAAGCAATTGGTTACAAGCATGTGAAAATAAGTACAATTTCCCTTAAGTATTTGCATATTTCTCCTTTCTCATATCGTTTTGCCTAGGGGTGGTGGTTTCTGTGGTTCATAACCATTCTTTTGATTCCAATAAATAATAAATTAATTAGAACTGTGTGGTACTGTAAAATTAGTCAAAAGAGGGCTGCCACGTGAAGGCTTAGTACCGCTAACCCCTTTTATTTTTTTGTGTTTTTATTTATTTATATTTTTAAAATATTTTATATAATGCGTTTTTTTATACTTTTTTAATACTTTTCTTATTTAAACATATCTTTTTCTATTTTCTTCAGTTATTTCCTCTTATTCTGGTTTATTTTTTATACTTTTTTGCACTGTGACCTTCACTAGATTTACCATTAGTCGTCACACTCTTCCTCCCATAGAGGTTGATAGTGATTCTCACAATTCCCAACTTGACATGATCCACAAGCAGGCATGCATGGTTGTCCATATGCCCTGCAACTGTACCGTTGTGTTTCGGCAGGCAGTTGTGTCACAGTGGATCATCTGCAGGAGGCTTTCTGGGGCAGCAGTCTTACAGGTCAATGTCATAACTGGCAGGAACCGCTTGTCCACCAGTTTCCATCCCCAATCCACTGTGTTCATGTCACCTTCCTTTCCAATCCACACCATGATCTGGAAGTAAACTCTTTGGGAGTGGTATTTGGTTGAGCACTCAGTTGGAGGCAGATGTTCTGGGGTAACAAATTATTTGGCGGTAACGATTTTCTTGCTAAAAAGGTTGTAGCGCAAAGAGGCAAGTGAATTGGTACTCTTTCCGCCAAACAACACTGCCATTGCCTTGGTCCCATGGTCCTCTACGACATTCCTTGCTTGATGTGGGAGCAGAAAGACATTTGCACAGGACTAGATGGTTGATTCGCCATTCACAAGTTTCTGAAATGCTGTCTGTTTGCAAACACTAAACATACGTGAAATTGTATCACATCCTGTGAAGGCGTGAATAAACAGCTACTGGGAACACAAGTCACTACCCAGGACTTGTTTCATCTCATTGATGTTTAACGCTTTAGTAGCTTTGGACTTGTCTGAACGAAAATAGAGGCCGCTATTGTTCGTCCCAGCATAGAGGAGAAGAATGAGTAAGTCTGTATCCTCCGCTATCAATGTTGTGTGCTGATGTTCTGAGGCCTTGACCGCTTTGACAATGTCCACGTCTGCATCACCCGATGCATTGATAACAGTGCAGCCTTTCTTCTCCAGCTCCTCGGTCATAAGATTAATAAGTCCTTGTTTGTCACAAGATCTGGAAAGAAATCATCCTTTCTTCCCACAAACTTAGTCGCTGCATTGAAGTTAACGATGGGGTGAGTGTTTTCACCACATCTCTGATGCATATTGTCTGAAATGGAAGGACCTTCGCTATAACCATCAAAAATGACTGTTGTTTTACCATAATGGCGTATGGTAAAGTCTGCATATGACTGTGCAATGGCACCGTAACTGTCACCCTTTTTCCATGCCAAGTGGTGAACCAGGGAGCCACCAAGGATATAATGCTCAGGTAGTGGGACGGAATCCAGGAGAGAACTCAGTGACTGCCTCACTGTTTATGATCAAAGTTACACAACTCCAATTTAAGTTACTTTTGGGTCCAATCACTTTTACATTAAATGTCAAGTCTGTGTTTTAGCAAAAAAGGGTATATGTCCAAAAACACATATTTGAGGTTCACCCAAACCAAAGATAAAACCTTACAGTAATCTCACAAAATCATGTATTTCATAAATATGTAATCATGTCAGTGCAATTTAAACAAGTCCAATGGATTTCTTTGATCTAGAAAACATGGGGTTAGACAGCAAGATTACTTGGCTAGGTCAAATAATGAAGGAGTTAGTATATTTTAACGGCTTCCTGCGCATTTTGTACGCCGTCTTGAAAATTACACCTTTCTAGTGGTCAAACTTTGGTAAACATTTAGTATGTTATTAAGGACTACAGAAAACAGCTGAGACACCTTTTGTTAGAATGTTTTTAGGTCTTGGTGTTTTTTTTTTTCATATATGCAGCCGCCTAGATATTTGGCAAAGATTTGTAAATTTTGGCACATTTTTTTCTCTATATAGTGTTGATATGGTAACTAGTAAATACACTAAGTTTCGTCATGCTAGCATGTGTGGAAGTATTTAAAACAAGTGCGTTACAACTTGCCCCGTGTTAGGTTGTGCCCCTACACAGATGTCCTAAACTATTCCATCATGCCATCTTCACCAATTAATTTGAGTGAAGTGAAACATAATCACTTTAAGTCAGTCATTCCAGTTAAAAATCAATGAATCAATTGAGAAATGGATAAATGAATGAAATATTCGGTTCAGCAGACATAATGCTAAATAGGTAAATTAATTTGATAAAAAATTTAAAAATATAATGTTCAATCTAATTCTTAATGTAGAAACTATGGGTAGTGTAGGAATATGTTTAATATGAAGTTGCTACTTAACACACTATCTATTTTTATTCTATGTTTTATTTATCAATTGATCTATTGTTCAAATGACTTAGTGGCACAAAATGAACCCATATATTATGTTGATGCCACAGCAGACAATACAGACTTGTCAGATGAGACAAAGCATGTCTTTTATTTATTGTTCCAGCCATCATGTACCCTCTGGCAACATCCTGTTTTAACTGCAATGGAAATAGTTCATGCTCATTTGATTCAAGGTTTAATGCATTTTAAATGACGCACACTTTTTTAAGAGCAGTTATTTGAGCAGCTGTTTCCATCATTCTCCCAGCTTGTTTAAATGAATCTGGCCATGAACGAGCGCTGCTCAATAAATTTTATTTTATTAATTAATTTTTTGCTTATCGTAAGTGGGAAAGTACCACTTGGATTTGCAGTTTGTTTGCTTGGTTATTCTATCAATGATCAAATGTTTGTTTAAGGGGCAGGTGAGGAGCCGTTGAGCCAGACATCCTTTTGAACTGTCACCTGTCGCCCCCATAAGTAGTTAATTATAGAGTTTAATATTTAACCGCTATACAGTTAATCTTTGAAGGTTTATGGTTCTGTGCTTTCAGCGTGGGACCAAATAGCAAATCATTTAAACCTTTAGTGCTAAAAAGCTGTTTTAAATCAAACATGTCTGAATTTTGTCATACATAATCTCATGGCTTTATCAACATTTATTTGAAGTTAAGGGCAAAATGTGGACCATCAAACTCGGACAATTAAATCCTTGGTATATGATGGCAATTTGTAGATTGAAAAGCCTTGATCAGAAGCAGTGTTTCTCCTGTTTGTCAGCGCTGTTTCACTCTGGTGCTCTTCGCGTGTCGGTCAAAAAGGACATATTTAAAAAAAAAATGTATTTCAATGAAATGAATGTACTTTTTATTTAATATTTTGTATTTTTAGGTTATTTTATGGTACTAAATTATATTTACGCTGTGTTTATAATCCATTTATTCACTTTTTGAGCATAGACCTGAAAATTAAATGTCCAACTTAAACTGTCGTAAATCTTGAATGCTTTAGAGCACAGACTAAAGTTTGATATCCTAGACGACACTTGGCAGATTATTGCTGAAGTGAAAAACGTTTTAAAAAGTGAACTTAAAAGTGAACTTAAAAGAAGTTACAGAATTTTACGTTTATTGTTATGAAAAATGCTATTTTCAATTTTTATACGAAATATATATTTTCAAAAACATGTTTTACTCTAAAACTGTAAGAAATTCAAAGCCATAAATCTAAACAAGTTGTGTTCAGAATTTGAGCCTGATATCAAATGTTGTTTGGCCGCAGTACCAAAAGTTTTCACTAGATGAAATTCATCTCCCATTCATTTCTAATGCGGTAATTTTTTACCGTGAGGAGCACAAGTGTGACAATTTTTTTCAGGGCCATTTAACCTCTTCGAATTTTGTCCATGATTTTTTTTTTTTTTTTTTTTCACATTTCACTTGCCAAAACCTTCAACCTACCAAGTTTCGTAACATTCCGATGAAAAAAAAAAGATTTGAATATTGAATTGAACATTTTCTGTCAAAAATGACCGAAGAGCACCAGGGGGTTAAACTACTTTAAATCACAAAGACATTTGTGTTCTTTGCTGAATTCAAGCGCTTCTCACTGGATCTCACAGCACTGTTTAGCGGTCGCGTGACCGAGACCAATCAGCGAGTAAACGGATCTGCTCTAGTAAGCTCGCGCTGCTCTGCCGTTTGAACTTTGAGTTCAAATGGTCCATGTGGCGCGGTTTAAATGAGTAGCGCTGTTTAGTTTTGCTTTTGGAGCATAAACCTTAGGATAAACATTATATCGAACATTTATTGAACTCTTGTTATCGTTTTATCTAGGAAAATTATGTCGCAATAATTATCGTTATAGTTTTATCGCCCAGCCCTATTTCCATGTGACCGTTGAATTTCCATAGCAACAGTCAGGTGGTCTGAGCAAGTTCGGAGCTCTCAAAAAATTCAGTGTTTACAAGTTGTAATTACAAGTTCTACAACTATAATTTTATAATTCACAATCTCATAATTATGGTAGTCCAGACAGGACGTGAACCTGATATTCAGGGGTTCACATAACTGGTGCATCATGCGCACCAGAAAACGTAGAGGGAAGCAATATTTTTGGTGACATGGACACGTTTACTTACTGAGTAGGATTCGCAGTTGATCCGTTTTCCGTACGGTATCGGTCCGTGCGTGTAGTCTTAAAGTGACAGCAGCCTAATATTCCTGCTGTTGTCTATGTCATTGTTGTTTATAAAATAAAATATGGCACCGCATCTCGTACCTTATTACTAAAGCATAAATTTCTGTTATATATGACTCAGGCTAAGCAACTTGAATTATGCCTTTAAAAAAAGTCTTTCTCTTGCCAGGATATGAGCACTGGAAAGGGCAAGTGATGACTGCGGACGAATTGCATGTCCTGTACGAGGGGATCAAGCTCAACAACGTGAACCATTACGACTATGTGCTTACAGGTACAGGTCTTTCCTCCTGTTATTTCAAACTTTTTCCAGTCTGTATTTGTCTTGTCTAATCATCATGTGCCCTGTGCCAACATCCTGTTTTTAAATGACTCAGTATCCTGTCCATTTTTATCCGATCAGAAATGCTTTTTTTTGGAGGGGAGGAGGGGGAGGGGGGGTGTACATTACATTTCATAATTTAAATTAAATGAATCACTTTTGGTCAGTTGGTTTCATCCATGTTTTTTCTCTTTCAGGGTACTGTAGGGATGATTCCTTTTTGGAAACGGTGGTCAACATTGTACAGGAGCTGAAGAGGGCAAACCCAAGCCTTGTGTATGGTGTGTATATTAGGGCTGTCGGGTCGCTAACAATTATTTTGGTAATCGAGTAATCTGTCGCTTATTTTGATGATTAATCGAGTAATCTGATTTTTTTGTGTGGTAATAAAAATATACCTAAGGCAAATAAGAGCTTTTAAAATGACTTAAAATTAGGGCTGCACGATTAATCGTATTTTAATCGCGATAACGGTATCTGCTTTTCTCAACGAATAATCATCGCGATATTGACCCGTGTGTTATTTATCCTGAAAACTATTTTTATTTGAAATTTAGATATCCTGCATTGATAACAAGTCCCCAATAGCTTTGATGTTTGCCAGAGCTCCTGCAAACAGAGCTCTTCTCTTAGATTTTCTGGTGTTTTACTTAAACTGTGCAATCTGGCAACCCTGCGCTTGTGCTCTCTCTTCACTGCAGAAAAGCACTGATGATCTGAAAACAAACATGCGCGGGAGTTTAGGGATATTCTGCTTACATGAAATTGTCATACAGTCAGTCTGTGTTTCTTCACAAGCCGCTTGTGCTGTATGTGTGACTTTTAAGGTTTTACCAGTTTTCATGATGTGAATCAGTTGAAAACGACATTGGCTCTGACAGTTTTTAGTGTACCAGAGAGTATAGTTCTTCTTTGTAGTACGACTTTGCTGAGCGATCTGGGTCTGTAGTTTGTCTCATTTGCAACCGAAATATGTCGCTTAGAAAATCAAATGTGAAAACACCATATGATATGATTTTTAAATGGATACATCATGCAGCCTTAGAAAACGGGCTAATAATGCGGTTCATGGATTCTCATCTGTGGAACGCGCCACTTCCGGTATTTGCCGGGTAATCGACAAAGGTGAAGTGCAATCAAGGATTTTTAAAAAATCGAGTACTTGAATTTAATCGAGGAATCGTGACAGCCCTAGTGTATATAATAAGTTGGTAACACTTTTTTATTTGTTTTATTTGTTAACATTAGTTAAGATAAACTAACAATGGACAATACTTTTACAGTATTTTTCATCTTAGTGTTAATTTCAACATTTACTAATAGGTTTTTAAAATCAAATATTTGTCTTTTAACATTAGCACTGTGAACTAATATGAACAAACATTAAACCATTGAATTTTTATTAACACAAATGAACAAAGATGAATAAATGCTGTAAAAATATATTGCTCATTGTTAGTTCATGTAAGATAATGCAATACATTTCTAGTTACAGCCAATTAGATTGCTTTCCTAACATTTAAATAGTCTGGTTCAGTGTTCATTGTACGCTGGTCCTGCATCAGAGTTCCTCTGAAACCCTCCACCTCCCACAGCTCCACCTGCCTAGATCTGCTACTGGATTTACATATATTTATGCAGCAGCATATCTTACATGCTCACATCAGTGTGTCTGTGTATCTTTTGGCTGTAGCAAGTTTGTACAACAGCTGTATCTGAAATTAATATAGCCCACTCAGTAAGACTAAATAGACTGCTAGGGATTTTACTGTAATGAGTCAAACAGGATATAATCAGAATATCATTGTTTGGGAATGTCATGTCGTGTGAGCCGATGGAATTTTGAGTCATTGTCCAAACTCAGGAAGCCTGTAAGGCATAACTGACATGTGTTTCACAGTGTATTATGTTCATTGCTGTTTTTTCTCCCCCTGCCTTCCAAGTGTGTGATCCGGTGCTGGGTGATAATGGGGCCATGGTAAGCATATATATATATATATAACAATCCCTACAATATTTGCATTATACTTTCCTAGTCAAAAATGAAACTCCTTATCTAGCAGAACATCTACTTCTTTGTGATCAGATGTGGTTAAATTTTCTAAATTATGGTGATAGCCAATTCGATTTAATTAAAAATGGTGGTGGTGGAGGAGAGATTCCCTGATATGATTGTAAAGCGCTTTGAGTGTACAGTAGTACATATGAAAGCGCTATATAAATGCCTCATTCTATTCTATTCTATTCTATAAATAGCTGATCACTTCCTGTTTTATTTCTAGTATGTTCCTGAGAACATGTTGCCTGTCTACAGGGACAAAGTAGTGCCAGTCGCTGACATAATTACTCCCAATCAGTTTGAAGCACAGTAAGTGTTCAGTTATGCTGATTTGTGTACAGTATTTGTGTATGAATCAATGGTCCAAGAGTGTACTGCCAGATGCTGTGGTCTGAGCACCTGGTGTCAGTATGCGTCACATGTGTCTCCTGTGACCATTTGTGAAAGGCAAATAGCCCCCAGTTGCAGTTTGTTTCATTTCCGGGCTCTATTCATTGGTGTGTCATAACAAACAACACATGTAAGTATTTTATTTCATTGTTTCCCCTCACAGACTCCTCACTGGTAGAAGCATAAGTTCTGAAAAAGATGCCGTTGAAGTGAGTTTCTATCAGCTGTTCTCTTAATGAAGCAGTTAGTTCTGTTAATCTAATCTGATTGGCTTAGTGGCTTTCTTAGAATGCTGAGTTTTATAATATAACAGTGCTGGGATTTTTCACAGTTGTACTGTATCTGCTGTCGCCACTCACAGCTTTGTTACAGTCGCTGTAATATACAGTTATGACATTGCCTAAACGAATATCTAATGTTCAAATTCCAGGATTTATGGCATAATTATATAAATATGGCATAAATATGGCCAATTTTTGGAGTTATTTAAAACCTTTTTAATTTAAAATTTTTATAAAAATCAATTCTGTTTAAACTTAATTTATTTGAACTGTACTGTAAACCCAATATGTAAGTGAAATTATGCGGGCAAAAAAAAAATATATTTTTTTTGTCAATAGCGTAGCATTGTATAACTCGCATAAGTAAGTTTCAAAACGAGCAGCGCTGCAAATTCACGTGACCAACTTGAAAATGAGTGAAATCTGCGTGGGAACTTTTTCGCCCACACTCTAAACTCCAGAACGCACAGATTCCTATTGAAACAACTAAATTTTGCTGAGCAATAGTGGCTGTGACGGTAACTTTAAGATATTCTTGACACTTTTACTGTCATTTTAGTGATTTTATATATATATATATTTTTTTTACAAAAATCTTGTTATTAGCATGCATATTGTTTATGTCTTGTGGCTATACTATTGAAACAATAGCTGTTTCCATCACCCTGCTTTTATGCACATAAAATATTATCGCATCAGAAACGAGTGATGCAAACGCTACATTTTTTGGAAAAAGACATTAATGGGAATAATGGGAGATGGAAACGCATTTGCCGAATAAATTCTGACATAGCGAACATTAAACCCACCGACTAATCGGCTGTTTCCGCTGATGGTGTTTTATTTACTGTTGGTTACTAGGATACCAATACCACCGTCATCCGCTCGAACAACTTGATGGAAACACACCTAATTCGCATTTGTTTTTTTTTGTTTTTTTTTGCGAACTTTGAAAAGATTGCCTCTACATTTGGATGGAAACCCAGCTAACTAGTATTTTAACATTTAGAGTTTGGCGCCATTCACTTCCATTTATAAATGCCTCGCTGTAATCCAGATTTATGCTTTTTTTTTAAAGAAGAGGAGAAAATTAAATGGAAATAAACTTTTTGCGTTAAGCAACATTACTGAATGTACATCTACAGACCCTACTGAAACGTGAAAGTTGTATTTCAGGTGATGAACCTGCTGCATTCGATGGGTCCAGACACAGTGGTCATCACCAGCTCTGACCTGCCCTCTCCTCTGGGGGATCAGTATCTGGTCGCCCTGGGGAGCCAGAAAAGAGGTGATTTTGTCATATTGTCCCACCACAATACCCAGTTGGACTTAAACCCAGTGCAGTAAAACTCCTAATGCTCTTGCAATGCTTTCCTCATACTTTTCATCATCACTCATTATCTGGGTTGAGTAAGTTGCAGCTGTGCTATTTCAAAATTCAGTTTACAGTTACATTTTGCATATTCAAAGATCATGCCTGGCAGCTTGCCTCTGTTTATATAACTGATAGTGGTATAGTTGGATGAGCAGTTTTTAAAGCTGTTGTAAAGATAAAGATACACAGCAATGTGTACAATGTTGCTGGGCAATGTTGCTTGGGCACTTTCCCATTGAGAATGGGCAACAAGTTTCTATCTGGATCATTTAGATCGGTTGTGGGCCCTGTGTCTCACCTGGTTCTCCATTGACAGCAACATTGCCCAAAAAGTGTATCATCACCTTAAGAGGAAGATAAACCCACATCTGTGATCACACTTACTATAATAATGTTACTTGCTATATTAATGTTGCTATGTTGCTCGGAAACCATAAACAGTCAGGTTCTGGAAGTCCCATTTTATATTTATAGAGGAACTCATTTTTAAAAATAACCTTTACAGATAGACTTACTGTGAGCTATTAGGTTGTTAATTGATGGTATATGATTTTGTTAAAGCCATCAGCCTTGCCCTATTTCATGTGTTTTTAATAATCAGCAGAATTTCTGGTAAGTTTCCACCAATCAGAGAATTGTGACAAGAAAATCGCACCAAAAGCGTTTTAGCGCCCACCCACTACATGAAGCACTGTGAATGATGTAATATTCAGTCTCCTTATGATCTCATACTATTTCTGTATGTATGTGTGTTATGAAATAAACGTAAAATATATTATTTAGATATGTTTAATCAACATATTTAAATCAATAGGCTGCTCCATCAATTTTCATTTGATTGTCGTTCACAATACTTCTTGGGATTGTAGTTCTTTCCCTCATTAAGTACACAATCTTGAGCATTTGTTTTGTCTTATTTGAAATTTTTCCATTTTTTGTGCTAAAAGTTTGTAATGTTGCGATTAAGCTTGTAGCTGTTTGGTTTTGTTTATGGCTTATGATGCATCAATTAAGACTTTTTAAAAATCCATATATGGGAAAAATGATTGAGGAAAAATACTTCTGGAACCAATGTCGCTGAAAAAGTAGGCTGACACTGTTGCACTCTTTAGGAAATGCGAAATAGGGCAACTGAAATGTGGGTATGAGGAACAATGTGTAAACATACAAATACTTGCATCATTCTTAAGTAGTGGTTTAAAGCTGCAGTAGGGAGTTTTGAGAAAACGTTGACTTAGCCTGAAAATTTGAACAAGCACAACTTACAGGTCCCACCCCCTTGCTCTCTGCTGCGCTTCAGCCCTCCCTCCACAGCTCGTCCTCCACAGCGGAGCCTGTCGTGAACGCGCAGGCTAGTAAACAGGGCCACCGATAACAGCGGATAAAAAGTTATATGGCACATTCACTAATAGGGACTAAACGTCAATAATATGCTTTACATTGACTATGGCCTGCCCATACTTTGACTACAAACTTGGTCCTCAAATCATTATGTATTTTGCAATAGCCTACATGTAACTTTATAACGTTGCACTCTTTCTATAAGTTATAAATAGCTAGTAAGATAACGTTAATATAACGGTAACTAACGTTACAGTATTTAAGTAATTATTCTAGCGATATATAATGCTAGATAAGGTGTGCTAGTACATTATTTCAGCAACATGACAAGCCAGTGAATTAGCAGGTTCAATTGTTGCTTAGCAGAGTGCGTGACATTTTATCTACATGTTATGCGGCTAGAGTTTTGACACCGAGTCAATGGGCTCTGTGTAATTCTTTCTTTTTCGCTTGTTTATCGTCATCAGTCTTTTTCCTTTTACCTCTTTGTTTTATGAGCAGGTGTCACTCGAGAATTGGCAGTTTAGGTTGTTTCTCCGTCATAAGCACAGCTGCAGCACGCCGGCAATCTTGAGTTTGAACGACGGCTCGCGCTGTGCAAGAGAGGGGTGTGATCAGCGCGTACACGAGCGTGATTGACACTGCTAAGACATTCCTCCTGGCTCTTATTGGTTGTTTCTGACCGGGAGCGTGTATTTCTTGCAAATGGCAATAGGACCACTAGGAGGAGCCAGAGGAGCTTGATTTTTACACAGATTATCTGTCTCATATTCTACTGTCAGGACATAATGACAGTTTTAGCAAATACATTTTTTCAAAAGTTACCTACAGCAGCTTTAAGTCAAAGGGTTTCATCCCTAAATGTGAATTTAATGATATACTCAATATCATATGTCATATGATATATGTTGTTTCTCAGTGAGAGCAGATGGTTCCATGGTGACCCAACAGATCCGTATGGACATCCCCAGGGTAGATGCTGTATTTGTGGGAACTGGAGACCTGTTTGCTGCGATGCTTCTGGCATGGACACACCACCACCCAAATGATCTGAAGGTAAAGAAGATGATGGCACACTAATTATAGCTGAGTTTGCCAATTTTCAACCTGCTTTGTATTGTTAGAATGTCAGTAGTGTATATGTAAATGAACAATAGCTATGTTTCCATCCACCTATTTACATGCGCATATATCGCATCAAAAACTACTGAATGGAAACGCCATAAATTCTAAAAATGTGCATAAAAAACGTATGCGCTCATTTAAGTCTGATTAATTTTTCTATCCGATAAGAAAACATGCGCATAAACTACGATGGAAACACATTTACCCAATAAATTCCTCAATGGGCATTAAAAAAAAATCATTATATTGCGCGATTGCACGACTAACCAGCGGACCAATCTTTTTGCACAGCATCTGAAATGCTGTTTTGGTTGTTCTGAAACGCCTGAACAAAGTCTGTCGTCAAAGTGGGTTCAGTATAATGACCTCCCAGAACTGTCTTACACGACTGTTCCCAAACAGCAGCATCCGCCTTCGAAAGCAAGTTTCGTCTGTGCGCTCCGAGATGCAGTAATTTATTATATATATATATACGAAAATTATTATATACAGGGCCTTCTCCTACTTTTCTTAGTGATATTTAGTGCCAGATTATCAGGAAGTCACAATTTTGTTCTCTTCGACTCACTGGATGGAAATTTGCTTTATTCGCAAAAGGTTTATGCGATATTCTAATTTTGCGCATAAGTTGGATTCGCAACTTTGGATGGAAACATAGCTAATGTTTACTCTTTCTCTGTTACCTGGGTTGAGAAATTCCTGTTTACTTGGTCGCAAAAGTCCACCTGAAAAATAGAGATTGTACTTCCGCATTTTTTTTATCCCGGCCCACGGATAGTCGGATCAACAGAGGGTTATTAACAAAACAGTTTTTGTTAGAGTAGGTTTATCACTGTATTTGTAAATTGCATCACACTTTGTCTACTCTTTAAACAGCACTATGGTCAAAAGGAACTCTACAGCAGCTTTCTTACCTGTATGCGATGACTTTTTGCTTCAGACGGATTAAAAGATCCTTTTATTTTTCTTATTAAGTGGATGAAAATGGAATGGCAGGTTTTCAGTTTTCTCCCCTCCATTTGGCCTAAAACACTGTTCGTAGTTAGTTTTAAATGTTGACATCTTTCAGATTTTCATCTGCATTCTCTTCATATTTATGATTCTTTGCTGCCTTTAACCACTGCCTACAACGCTCTTTATCCTTCACTGGAAACTCTTTGAATTCTTGCACCTGGGAACAATACAAGCTTTCATTGTGACTAAAAGTTTGCAAAAAAAGTATGTACTACTCAAGAAAGGCGGTATTTGACTCTGGTCAAACCTATCCAATAGGAGCAGACTGGGAGTGGCTTTGGATGGCAACATTCCCAGTGCATTATGGGTGTTGAAGTTTTCCAACCTATTTGACAAAAGGGAAGACAACAGCCCATTTTATCTTTTTTTTTTCCTAGTCAGGAAAGACGAAAAAAAAAAAAAAAAAAGGCCTTTCTACCACATAGGCAGCCAAGTTTTATTTGAAAGTCAATTTTGCCAGTGGTGAATTAAGCAACCCTTAAAAATACATGGCCTACTGTAAGTGTGCAAATACTTCAGGGCCACTCTAATGTCCTAAATAAGTGCTACTTTTTAAAAAAAAAAGAGTGTTCAAACTTCAGTTTTTGTTGAAGTATAACAATTCGATGTATTTTTGACAGACAGCCTGTGAAAAGACCATTTCCGTCATGCACCATGTCATTAAGAGGACTATTACTTATGCAAAAGGTAAGAGCTTATGCACAGACCAGATAATGCAAAGTGCTTCTGAGAATGTGTGAGTGACACAATTTGATAGCTGAACTTTTGTGCATATTTTTAGTTTGATACTCGTACTCTATGATGTTCATGTAACTCATCCCTTACCTTGGTGCGTCTCTCAGAGGTGGCCGGTCCTGATCGAAAGCCCAGTCCTGCTCAGCTTGAGTTGCGGATGATCCAGAGTAAAGGAGACATTGAGGATCCTGCCATAGTTTTGAATGCTGTTGTAATGTAGTGCTTTACTCTTTAAATTCTGTACTAAACAATATGATGTACTATGTTGTACTATGAATGTCATATGTTTAACAGACAGACTTTACAGTCACACTGTGGATGCTGGACGGCTCATATTTTTATGCTGTAGTGTTATAGATTATTTTATAACAACAATAATGCTCTTAGAATTGAAACTGTGACTTCTGGTACTTCATAGTGCATTAATGCAGGTAGTGCGTCCAAAAACTAACATGTGACCGTATGTTATTATACGGTCACAATTCATTCCAGCCATAATGTGCATGTGACTATCCATCCATTATTAGTATTTTACTTTAATTTGATTATGTATGTGTCCGTCTGACTTAACCATTTATAATGATTTATTTACATTAAGAAAATGTATTTAACATATCAGTGTTATGTCTAACTTTTGATTTGATTCAGTCTATGTTATACTTAAACATCATTTGATCCTTTAGTCCTATTATTTCATCAGAATGATTGTAAAACCCCAGTCAGGCCAAGTTTGAGAAAAAATGTCTATTAAAAAATAAAAAGGAATTGTCTAGATACTAAGAAAGTGCCTTGATATGCTGCTGTAGATATTCAACTAAAAATGTATTTATCTTTGTAATGATCAGCAATAATTGCTATGACAGCTAACATATTTTGACCATAATGTAATAAAATCTTTCTAATTTTTATGCATCTTTTGTATTCAGGAATTTAATTTTAAATGTATTTCAGTGATTGTGGTGCAGTAGGTGATATTTTATTATAGGGATTTATAGTGTATAAATGATTTATATATAACAATCATTTGATTTACATAATTTTTGGGGGGATTTACATAAAACAAACATCAGCTATGTCCCTTTCCAGAACTAACTTTAGACAGAATAAACCATTTCTATGCCATGGGTCAAACCAATTAACACTCCTAAAGGGAAATGGATTTCAAATAAATGTACAGAAATAAACCTAACAATTGACAATAAAATTCAATATGACCTTTAACATAAATATTAGCAAAAATACTAGAAAAAAAATAAACAATACATTCCCATATACAACATAAAATAGGTGTGTTCAACTTGAAGCGGTGCTGCGCAGACCGATCCATGTAGTTGAATGAGTTTTCACTAAGTTCGACATGTTCCTGAATCAACGTCTTTGTTGATCCTGAGACAACGTTCCGATCAACCAATCAGATTTGTTTACAGTTTATGTCAAGGTTAGGCTTAAAACCAGGGTTAGGTGCTTCTACATCAGTGTTATTCACCTATCATTTCCATCTGAATTTAGGGAAAACATATGGGAAAGGTTAGGTTTAGAGTTAGGGATGTGATTAGGACAACATTTTAGGGCTGGAATGTTGTTCCAGAATCATCCAAATATATTGATCCAGGAACATGTTTTGTCTTACATGTGTTATTGTCAAAATCCCGGTGACTGATTGGTGTATGACATCAAAAAAACGTAAGTGTTGACGGCTCCGTATACTTACCAATCGCTGTCACGGTACTTTGATGTCATACACCGATCGGCCTACGCAAGTCAAACACACCTGAAACAACCTTCCCCTAGATGACCTCTCCTGCTCACACTGGCTAGTTAGAAGATGCCTACACTACCCATAATCCTTCAGGATATGATCAAATAGGGAACAGGAAGGCAGCACATACTCTTAAACCCCCACCCCTGCAACCATACTGTAGCCATGAACCCAGAGACAAAACTTAAGAAAATTAAGTTGATAATAAATAAATAAAATTCTTGGTGTCTTTTTTCTTCTGTCTAATGTGCACGTTTGCGGAGCCCCTGAAGAGACATGGTGGTGAAAAAAAAGTTATAAGAAAATAATAAGTTAATGCTTTTGTGTTCTCTCGCAAATGTTTTGCATTCCCCTGAGAAACTTTGCATTCGCTCACAAAACCTTCTGAGCTCTTTGCGAGTGAACTCAGTTCATCGGCGGAATGTGGAAGTTTTTGCGTGGGAACGCAAAGTTTCTCAGGGGAACGCAAAACATTTGCAAGAGAGCTCAAAAGCATTGGCAACTAATTTTCACTACATATACTTTTTTTTCAATCACCTTGTCCCTTTAGGGGCTCCGTACATCTAGAAAATAAACCATAGTGAGTAAATGTCACGAGCGACTAACCCCAGGCTACAACCTTCAATTGAAATGTTTCCACAAACAGTTTACTAACAACAAACCGGGTTGCTGAATCATGATTACATTGTTGTCAAACATAAGAGGTTTAACATTACAGATACACACAGCTGATGTCTAACGGCATTCAAACAACCTTCAGTCATAGCCTTAAATGTAAACTTATACTTGTAATATGCTTGGCATTGAAGTACTTCAACAGTACCTAGAAAAAATGGACAGAACAAAGGAAAAGGACTCTAAACTTCTCTTCAAACAAGAAGAATATACTTCAGCCAGAAGTCAAACACACAGTATTTGGTAAAGGAAAAGAACAAACAGAACAGGTAGTCATACTATTTTATAACATTTAAAAAACTAGTCAACTGAGTAGTCATAAGATAAATCTTCAGCAACAGATACAGTGCATTTAAGCATTTTATCAAAATACACATTAAAGCTACATTCAGTTTAATGCAATCGTTTATGAATGATTTATTAAGAAATTCATTGTAGGAACTCTTGCTTCATGAATGAGGCCCAGTAGCTGTCGTATGACCTTGATGTTACAAGGACACATTCTTTCGCTGGTGTGAGGGAGAGGTTCTCTGCTTGTGTTTCTATATTTATTATCTTAAAACGGCAGTTGATAAGCAGGTGTTTCCATGTGCTATGTGAATTATCACATCTGTCAGCATTTAAAGCTGGTTGTTAGATGCCTTTGCTGGCGCCCCATATAAAACTTATAGTCACGCCCCACGAAATGTGTCCTTTGTCAACATATGTGGACATATTGATATATGATTTTGGACAGTATTGAATGATGAAGGTGACAACAAATAACTGACAATTTGACAAATTCAGTTGTTTTGCATGGAAAAAATAAGTACACCATTTAGCAGCTGGTATGCTGTACAAAAAAAAATCAAAGTTGTCAATAATAAGATTATTGGAGTACATTTTAATAGCACTTTCTGAGTGGAAAATTGTTTCAAATTAAATCCTACACAATCCCCCCCCCCTCTTTCTTTCAAAATGTTTCCCACTCCTCCGTGCACAATTCCTTCAACTGTGTGATATTAGAGGGATTTCCAGGATGAATGAACCTATTCATTTCGAAACTACCGTAGATTAAAATCTGATTTTTTTAAAACATTTTTCTGAACCATTCCATTGTGGATTTGTACAGATTGCTTCATGTTCTCCTCAAGCACTGTTTGTTGTAATGTGGATTAGTAATGTGATTGTGCTGGGCTCTGAATGAGCAAAACCCCAACATCCAAAACCCCAATACTCCCACCATTACTGTATGATTTTCAGTTGTGATGAACTTCTCTCTCCAAACATGGAACTGGCCAAAAAGCCATTCTTTATGAACATTCATTTTGGATTGCTTTATTTTTAGTTTACACTGACAAAAAAAAAAATGCTGTTTTAAGAGTCACAGACAATTGCGAGACAGATATGATTCAGTTTGTGGTACTTCTCATTAATTTCTATAGTATCCGCAAACAATGAATGACTGTCGCACAACTGTGTCAAGGCTGTAATGTGATTGGCTATCAAGGCACACGTGATCAAAGTTGACCGTTAAGGCCCTTGCACACTGAGTCCGAAATTTTCGTATGCGTTTTTTCGTATTCGTGATTCGGTGGCTCTGATTTGTCAAAACACCATACAAACACCATTCAAACTGCTTGCTACGGATGCGAAAAACGCAGAAAATCGAACCCGATCCGATTTTTTTTTTTATGACGGTGTCCAACCGTGATTGACATAACATGAGGTCATATTTATTTTTTAACGTGTGAAAATTTCGGACGCGAATTTCGGCCTCAGTGTGCAAGGGACGCTTTCTCCAATGCTAGAGCCACAGACCCTCGTATCTCCCAATAATAGTCCAGTGCTGCATACTATCCGTCCTAAATATTATTTGAAAATAGAATTAGTGTTTCCCAAATTGTAGTATATTGAAATAAGTATTCAAGATAACCGGATTCTACTATTTCCGCTTATCCGAAGTGCAGACAGATCCTTTAGGACGGTGCTACTACATTTCTCTCCGAAACAGTAGGAGATTAAATTAAATTGAATGTGGAGGATTTTAACTGTGACAAGATGATTGACAGGGCAGGTTAAACGTTTAAACTCTGCAGGACAGGATTAGACACCCCTTTTAGATTATTCCAACAATAGTCCCTTTACTGTTATTGCTCTCATAAAAAATATGATTACTTGTGTTACATGTAGAATTTGAAACCTACAGAACACTTAATTTCTAACAAGAAGCATTTTAGTGTTAAGCTGGAAACTCGCTCGTTGTCATCTATACAGATAAGGATATAACCATAAAATTAAGTTATGCTGAGGAAAATACGTCTCGAAATCCTTAAATCCGGCAAAGCACGACAGGGCAAGCTGCGGTAAAAACGTGAAGCGTCTAATATACAGTAATTTAATGTTTCGGACAACTTGGAGTTATGCACCTTTCCCGCAGCAGCTCACTGTGTCTTCCACTACTTATATGTGTTTTGATTGATGGATGGTTTCCATGCACAGCACGCAGACGTGATTAGTTGATCATTTAAATTGTTGTCAATTATTTCCATTATCGATCATTGTCAATTTTATCTTGCAGCCCTATAGTAGATTGTCTTGTGTACAGTGGAAGGGGATGGAAAGACTTTAATATTCCTGCAGGCTCATAAGCTTTAACGTTCTTTCGTCTGAGGGCCTCAGGCAGCTCTTGGCATGATGGCATACCACGCTTTAATGCTGTAAGACTGGAAAAACTAATTTGAGGCTGAAAATTAACATTTGAACTCCCCCTCGTGCACAATTGAGACGAAAGGTCTCACCTCCCTCATCCTAATCTACATTTCTCCCCCTCATCCCCCATGCGAAGATCACCCAAATTCACACAAGAATCTAAATGGTTTAATGTTAATGATTATCATTGAGTATTATACATGTTTAGTACCATTCAAAATGTCTCAATGCGACTGATATAAATGTCTCATTTCCAAATAAGTAAAACAAAAAAACAAAAGGTAATAAGGTTTTTAAGAGTTTAGGGATAACTGGCACACAAAGGAATGTGGTCTCATAGACAAACGGTCCTACCCCCAAAAGCTGTAAACTTCTGAATGCAAATATCCATTGTTAGCCTATGTAATGAAATGCAGCAAGGGGCTCAGGGCTTTCTGTATCTCAGATCAGCCCGTGAATGCTGAGTCGCCGAGACTCTCAGCTTCACGTAGCCTATTTCCTAATGTCGGGTTCGTCTTCTCTATATTCTAGAGCATTTGATGTTTTGTATTGATTATCTTTGAACTGATTATACATTTACCTGACATAATAAATTGTTACATTTTGATTATTCTAACTGACTTTGACATTATTTCATTAGAGTTAAAAGGAATAGTCAAACTTTCGCTTATATTTAATGATGCACACATATCATTAAAAAACCTTTTCTAGTCAGATGAAATAACGAGAGAATACATATGAGAAAATGTATTGCATTTAATCAAAAATACTTTGCCACGAGAAAACA